AGCATTACAAATTTACAACCATGATTACAATTGTCCAGTCTCGAGAAGGTATACCTGGTTTACAAATATTAATATAGCTTGTGACAGTGATAAGGAGTGACTCAGTTTCCGAAGTGCCTGGCTCATCAGCCTAGCTTGCATTGCCATGTGAGCGTCCCCCATCTCACCATCGAGTTCTCCTTTTGGCACAAGTGCGGCTACCTACAAATAAAGTTAATTCGACAATCACATACCTCAGCTGGAACTTTAATTATGAGATAAAAAGACGACTCTAACAGTTAAAATGGTAGAATAACCTAGTCATTAAAACCTACACCAACATTCGACGCTGCTTCTGTCGTCTGAGTATTTCTGCAAACAGAATTTCGTATACTAATGATGTAATGGATCTGGCAGTGTTGACTACATACACTTCCAGTAGAGAGGCCTTACACTGTCCACCACAACAACATCTACAGAACCACTCCTTATTAAAGTGTCCACAAGACTCAAAGCTTGCTCGCCGCAATCTGGTTGGGACAGAAGCAAATTCTCCGTGTTTACTCCAATAGCCTCAGCAAGTGCAGGGTCAAGAGCGTGCTCCGCATCAACAAAAACACAGTAGCCTACAGATAATGATTTGCTCGCATAAGGCAGTCTCAACATGTTGGGAGTCAGCCAATAGGTCTCACTCCTGACTAAACCACTACAAATAAAGAAAAATGATAATTATCCCCAACCACAGTGCACTTTGAGATGCCAGTTATTATGATATGGTCCAGTTCAGCACTAAAATATGGGTCCAAGAACTATGAATGTGTAACTCCTCTGGTTTCCTGAGTTACATGTACCAACAAATACAAGGCCTGCTCATTAAATATGCAAGTGACACTTTCCTATGCATTAAAACGAGTTTCATCAATAGCAACAGCATATCAATCTGTGCTCGCTGCAAGCCTTGAAAGAAAGTATAATCATTTCATAATAAGAAGCTTAGATAAATTGAAGTGAATTCAAGACTGCTGATAGCATTAAGTGTAAAGCTTAATGAGATGTCTGGCTAACATAAATACACACTGCATAATCATGTTCTTTTTCTTTAATTTTAGAGTTTAAAGAGTCACCTCCTTGCTTCTGTGCTTCAGCAATCACATGCAACGCAAGTGTTGTCTTTCCCGAAGCCTCGGGACCATATATCTCTACAACACGCCCCTAAAGAATTCAAGAAGCATTAATCACAGAACTGTGAACATGTCAGACTTGAGAATTACAGAAGTCCAATTTATATTTTCGGTAAGAAATACATATAATTCGAGACCCACCTGTATCAAATAAACCAGAAACTTTATTGTGTAAAAAGAGGATCTAAGTACCTTTGGAAGTCCACCAGTTCCAAGAGCCATATCCAAAGCAAACGAGCCCGTGGAAATGACTGGAACTTGCCTATGAGAGACAGATCGACCAAGCCACATGATTGACCCCTTTCCAAAGGAGGAAGTAATCTGATCCAGAGCTTGTTGGAGGGCCAAATCTTTCTTAGAAATATTATCCTCATTAGACTCCCTCCCATCAGACTTGGATCTTGTCCTACCTTCGTGCAGGCAGAAATTGACAGATCAGATGGAAAGTACAGAAATTATGTGTAAACTCAAAAGCGGAAGCATGATCCTGTTTCATTCTATTATCACATTGCTGTAACAAATATAACAGATATCTTGCCCTTCCAGGAAAAAAAGACATTTTTTTGCTGAGAGTGCCTTCCAACTAAAGAGAACTGGGGACGCTATTATACGGGCTAAGCATAAATTACATCGATTTCATGCATGTTTCATGGCACTGCGTAAATTCACCAAATAGGACCACTATCTCTTAAAGCACAGCCATAACCATTCAAATCAAGAAACTTGTCATATAACCATGAAAACTTGCAAGCAATGGACACTAATCCCTGGTAATGCCCAAGAGTGTCCCCTAATCACATAACATTACAAATGCAAAATCTTAACAGGTTCGTCGGAAAAAAGAACACCTCTGGAGGAGAAGTTGCGGAACTGAGAAGTTGTTCTCAATAGCCCTCCCCAATGGCCCTGCAGTCCAAGAAAAAGTAGAATGAGTACCCCGAAAGAAGAAGACCAATACATGAGTGAAGTGAACCCACGACACACGGCAATTCCCATTCCCAGAAAGTAGAAGAGCAGGGACAACCTCTGACTCCAAAACAGTGCAAACTGCAAAGGGCATAAACAATAAAGTATCTCCAAACTAGGCACAAAACAAATCGCCACTCTTTTCAGTCAGCCAAGAACCATCATTATAACTACACGCACGAGCAATCCAAACACAATCTCACCCCTTTTCACCCCCTTCTTACAAGCGACCAACTTCAGCGAGCTCGATAAAAGGAGAGGAAATTTCGAAAAGAAAAAAAAAGGGTTCAAACAACACGATCCCACGGACGCAAACAGAGCTAGACCACGGAGGCGGTCAAATGCAACTGTCAACTGCGAAACGATCACGGAAAGCTCAAGAATTGTCGAAGTACATGAAATGGGTACGAAAAAGGATCGACCTCCGACTCGAGCAAGAAGCGCCTGAGGGAACAAGCGCCCCGAAGAGGCCTCGCCATCAAGCGATCGCGCGCAGCCCCGCCATGGAATCAGCGCGGGAAGAAGCCGGGAGTCGGAGCTGGAGCGCCAGGAGTATCAAAGGTCGTGGGGAGGTGGTTTGGGTCGTCGTCGAGCTAGCTTCGAGCCTCAAATTGCGCGGAAGAAGGACGACGATGCTGGGATACCGAATTCTACTGTAGGACGAAGCAGCGAGCCTTTTCGATCCCGTCGATGTTTTTTCGTGCGACAAGCAAAGCAAAAAGGGGAGACTATGCTGTTTTCCGGGCGACAATCCGTAGAACGAATTTTCGGACCCTACTTAATATCTGCATCAGTGATAAATTTACTCTCCATTAATTTCTGTTATATTTTACTATCAAATTACTTGATTAGATAACATGTGACAATCGATAAATATACCAATTTAGAGTTTTTACCCTCTGTTTATCACGTATATATGATTTTTCGTGATTTTAATCCAATTTAATGAAAACTAACGAAGGGTAAATTTGTCACAAATATACTGTGATTTTTCGTGATTTTAATCTAACGGAGGGAAATTTATCAATATCTAGTTTAATTTAACTAATTTGAGTTTGTGTAAAAATTAGTTTGGAATTTCCGTAAATCCGTAAACAAAAAATGAGCTTTAATTGAAACTGGTGAGAGTAAATTTGTCTAAATATACTAAAATTAGCTTTTAGAGCATTTTTAGTGGTAAAATACAAAAAATAATCCAGTTTAGAGTAAAAAGGTGTTTATTATCTACTAGTAATTTGGGATTTGTGGTGCAAAATTAGTTTGGAGTAAATTATGCCCAAAGCTCTCATGCCTATTTTGATTTTTTCACTGATTACAATTAGTTTGATGTTTTTCGTGGTATTATAGTTCACCAAATAATTGCTCGCATCTTGCCAATGGACGTGCTTTGTCGCTGTTTCGAAATTAAAGATGCCATATTATGGAAAGGCTGCGACATTCATAATTTGTTGGGTAGTTTCAAGCTCATGTACTTTCAGACTATATGAGTCGTTAGATTTCACGAGCCTCACCTAAAAAATTGGTGGGATTTTTAATTTATCGCCGTAGATAATCCTAGGGACGCAAAGGCGAGGACAGATCAATGAGAGGTGAGGGGTACGGTGAACACCTAGTAAAATTTCGTAATACCAAGAAATGGAGCAGAGCATGTGTCTCAAATTGCTGCAAATTATAAACCGCAGCTCGATTCCCTGGTAGAGAGGCCTTGCGTCGACTCATTAGGGTCGGGCGCAGCTCAATAGGTCCAGCCAACATTACCGGCGCGCCTTGACATTATGCTTATTTGCGAAGTGATAAAAATTGTCCGGCCAAAAATTAATCCTCAAGATGGGAAGGGAAGGTATTGACCCAAGGTTTCCACTTGCTTGTGCTTTTGTCTCCGTTGCTCTTGGGCGCGTCAAGTGCGGCCTGTTCATGTACAATATGCTTGGTGACATGCCTTGGCTGATTTTCATTCTCTGCGTCCTAATGTTGGTAATCCTGTTCATGTTCATCGCGAATTAAAGGATCAATTAGCAAATAGTTTCCGAATTTCTTGACGTGGTGACGTGCACTTTATATAAATTTGGTTTGAGTGTTGATGGTCCGGTGGACCTCCTGTTGTATCGTTACCTTGAACACCCTTCACGTCCTAGAGCAGAACATGTAATAATGACTAAAGTAATAGGCCATGCGTAATCGTAATATCTTCCCTTCTTTTCCATTATTCATTTTATTTCTCTGGTTATGTAAAAAATGTCTCGACGTGAACGTAAAAAATCCTAAACAAGATATGAACCCCAGTTCACTCTTGCTTTGGGATGTGTCACGTACAGTCTGTTGATATACATTCAGCTTGGTGACATGCCTTGACCGATTTTCTTTCCCTTCGTCCTAATACTGGCAATCATATTTGCATTCACCGCAGACTAAAGGATTAATCGGCGAATGGCTATAATTTCCAGCTTTCCTGATGCGTTTAGGTACCACAACTTATTTTCCACAAAATAAACGCACCAGTTAATAATCATTATCGTTTACAATCATTATCATAATCCATTGCGCAGTGACATGGGTCCAACTGGTTGTCACTCGTACCAACATCTCCAGCCTGGAGTGGGGAATCAAAAGTTGGGTCGCCAATTTTCACCCTCCGAACAGACAAAGGGCAGCCAAGACACAAAAGGCGTCGAAGTTTCCATAATGTCATCATATTATTGAATACCATCATGTTTCTTGCCCACCCTGGCAACAGCATGATTTGAATTCTCAGCACTCGATGTCCGGACACTTAAAAGAGGAGAACCATAATCAGAGTGCAAGCAGATGGAATCAGGAATTGCTCAAAAGCCACACAAGCAGAGCGTGGAGTCCAGAGGAGATATCAAGAAGAAATACTATGAATTGACCTTTTAATACCAAATAATCGGTGGTCCGATGATCACAGATACAATAGCACTAAGGAGACATTTCGTTGGAACAAAATTGAAGATATGAAGATCCCTAAAGCAGATAACTTAAAACACATGATATGCTACGACTTTAAGTTCCCTAGAGACACGTCCTGAGCTTTTCCCTGCGCATGTCGACACATGAGTCACACCTCCCAAATTGAGCGAACGACTATACCACAATAGAAATTTCCTCAATCAATCACCCCACATACCAGAAGAGAAACAAACTAGACAGAACAAAACTGCAAACACCCCATTCACCCCATCCCCACTCAATCGGCAATGACCAGTATCAGACTCTTGCGATTTCGGTAGAGCAAAACATCACTGTTGCTTGCACTCTGGAGGCCTCTCTCCCTGTTGGGCATCCCCAGCCACTGCTCTGGAAGCCTTCTGTAAATTACCAAACGTAGTATTTAGGATATGAGAGACCAAATCCGGTTGGTATGAAAAGTGAATCAGAGTAAATAAATACGCGTGAAGTGAATCAGGGTACCTTCGGTCCGGATGACTGCGGTGAATTCCAAAAGTTCATGAAATATGAATAGAAATTAGTTCAGCTCTAATCAGAATTATCAAGCTGCGGTAGAACAAGCAGAAAGAAATACCCAACATCAAACAGAATCTCACCTTCTTTTTACTCTTGCTTGTGTCTTCTTCTTCTTCCTCATCTTCCTCATCTTCGTCTTCGTCCTCATCGTCGTCAACATCTTCATCATCATCCTCATCTTCTAGATCTTCGAACTCTTCTCCTTGAATAGCCTCCCCTGTAAACCATGAGACTGCATGTGGAATGATCTTGTCCCTGATGGTTGACCTGCAAGATGCACATGACTCAGAAACATGAGTATGTTGAGCGAAGCAACCACAGGAAGCAATCAAACTGTCAGAGCAAAAGCATAAATCAAAGAATACTACATTTCATTCACTTTCATTAGCATAGGCTATCACCAAAGCTAAAATGACGTGCAAACGCCTTTGATTAGGACAAGTCATGAGGGACCTACCCAATGTCATAATCTTGCTCCATCAGATTCTGAAGTTCCTCAGCCTGAAAAAGAAATATCACAGATCAAATAAACCTAATGAAAATGAAGAATAAAGCAAATATCTCTTAATCAATTCAGCTGCCATACAGTCTCTTCATCAATGTCTTCATCTTCATCGGGGACTTGGGGCGGATTAAAGAAATTAAAAAAACTTTCACAATTTTCTGTTTTAGTGATAGGCTTCGCATTCTTTGACCCTTTCTTCGGCTTTTTCTTGAGGAGCTTCTGCGTCAAGCATTTTCCTGGATACCATTCTATCTCCGTCCTATAAGAACCAAATAGTTGCCATAAAGATTAGAATATAAACAATACCACAATGAAGACAAACGATAGAAATAATTCTTCCCAACAGCAAAAGAAAAACACGCTTCCACTATGCATAACGAAAAGCCACTTACCCAATTGCTTTCTCCAGAATAGGTTCGTCTTCATCTATCATGTGATAGATCTTCGTCAAGACAGAGTTCTTAAAGTAGGGGTTTGTATCGAAGAAGAACTCAAGTTTAAACCCTTTGGGGTCGTCTATTCTACACCACTTAATGTCTTTGAGATATTTGAGAGCGCCTTCATCACGCTCAGAGATCTGATCAACAAAAGGAAAATGATAAATCTAGTTAGAGAAGTAGTCAATATTTTCCGTCAGTGCTTGAAAGAAGCATTTGGAATCTACACACCTCCTCAGCTAAAACTTCATTGTTTTTCATAGCAGCGACCCAGAAATTAGGGACTCCTTTCTCTGCAATAAGAATAAGGGGGGCATGTCATGTAGCTTGCACCAAGTGAAAATAATGGCGAGGGAGAGGCGTCAACTAGGTACCTTCATCGGCTTTGTCCTCCTCTTGCTCCTTTGCTGGCTCATTAGTAACTCCTTCCACTTCCACAACACCATTCACAATATCGTATCTCTGCAGTTCAACATCCCCAACCCCGACCACGTAGGAAAAATAGAGTTTGAGAGATCATAATTATAAACACGTAAAAAGCTGAGAGAGGATATCTCCTCTTCACTCTACAGAATCAATAAGTAGAAAAAGAAAACAATACTTTTGTGTACAGAGGTTGATAAAGCTTTTGGTATTTCGCTTCAAGTGCAGCTCTCTCCTCAAAGAATTTCGCCTCTAGTTCGTCATGCTGGCTCTGTTCATTTCAGATGCTCAGGTTCAGTAAAACCCACTTGGGCCAATTGCGCATCCCCCCAACATGAATGCTTGCGAATAGAAAAACTCAACAGACAAGTGATCTAGGTAGAGCTCTTCGTAGGGAAATCATCTCTTTTAAACCAATTTAATCATTCACATTAAAAGAATCTTCAGAACTTGAATGAGTACTTTGCAGGGTTTAAACAAAATCCTAGCACTAATTCATAAAGTAAAACGACCAGTAAAAGGCAGCATATTCAAAAAAGAGGCGAATCCAGCAGCAGATAACAAGACTTAGGCCAGCAATTTTTCTTTTTTTTCTCCTTTCAACAAGAGGACATGCCTGGATCTCTCTCAGGACCTCCACCCGCTTCCGGACATTGGGCGCGAGGCTCTCGAGCACGTCCGAGTGCTGCCCAGCCAAAGTCTGTAGCTTATCCTGCCAAAAAAAACCCACCCCCAAAGACAAGGTCAGCACCCGCGCCGAAACCCAAACACACAAATTGCCACCAGTTCGAGCCCAGAAAAACACAAATTGCCACGAGCTCGAGCAGTAGCGTAAACGCACGGTCGTCCAACGAATCACAGATCGCGCAACAAAGAAGAAGAAAAAAAAGGCAACTTTCCCCCGTACAGACAACTGTCTCGGAGAAGCTCGCAGCGGACAAAACCAAAAGTTCCCCCCGCCTTTCCCCGAACTAAAGCAACCCCACGACCCAAAAAGGGGGGCGAAATTTCACTTCACTGACCTTGAGAGCATTAACGAGGCCAGCTCGATCCTCGTCGTTGAGAGCTACACAAACCAAACCAAACAAAGGGGGGAAAGCAATCGCATCACAAGCTCGAAAAAAAAACGAAAAAGAAAGGGAACAACAACAACAAGGCAAGATCAGTGAAGCGGAAGCCCGGCCCAGCGAACCGGGGCAAAGCTCACCAGCAGTGAGATCGGCCATGTTGAAGTTCTCCTTCGCGTTGCTCATGGCGGCGGCGGCGGCGGCGGCGGCGGACGACGAGGCGAGGTGAACCCGACCCGAATTGGGGAGCGGCGTCGCCGGAGGAGGAGGCGGAGGAGGAGGAGGAGGAGGAGGGAGGTTAAACCCTAGGATTTGGGGGATTGGCGAGCGAGGGAGAAGGGAGGGAGAGAGAGAGAGAGAGAGATTTGGGCGAAGAGGCGAGGCGAACGTGGCCTGCTTTTAAAATCTATCTCTCTGCCCCTCTCACTCTCTCTCTCTCTTCTCTGCTCTTCTCTTCTCTTCTCTCTCTCTCTAGAAACCCTAATTACAACCTGGTCTATTTATGGGGCGGGGGGAGCGATCGTACTTTCTAATTATGTTCCGGATTTCGGTTTTTCTTCTTTGGTGGTATTTTTCCTTTTTTGTTGATTTTGCGGGTTGAAATTCCCAGATTTTTATTTCTATCGATGGCTTTATTTTTTATATATATATATTTTCTTGGAGAGGGATTCGATTTGGAGATTGCTTGGGAAATCTGATTAATCTCGGGAGAGCCCAAATGGGAAGAGGAGATTTTTTTCCCTTCCTTCGTTTACAATTTCGCTCGTGGATATATATTATTTTTTTATGGTTTCGTAATTAGATTTGCTTTTCATTACCGCGTCTGCAAAATAGGCGAGTGATTTAATTCGTAGGGATTTGCGCGGGGAAATGTTACCGAATGGAGAAAGGCTCGGATGGGTAAAACGCTAAACTGAATCTTGAAGAATTAATGAAGCAACGCCTGGCGAAGGAACTATGCGATTTCGAAAAAAAATTTCTGAAGATTTTCCTAATTTTCTCCTTTTAATTTTGCTTTGTCGAATTTGACTTTTCTCTTTGAAATTGGTTGAAAATACTAGAAAAGAAAATAGGAGGAGAAATTGGGTTTACTCTGTTTTATTCCTAAATGACCAAAAAAAAAAATTTATGCCGGCATTTGTATTGTAAAATTGATTCATTTCCCGGAGTGATTTTTCTAATTTCGCGACTTTTAATAAATCCGAATTTTTTATGAAATATTGCAATAAAAATGACGTAAGTATTCCCCATGTTGTGAATCCAAGTTCAAGATCTGCTCAACCCACGTCGAGTAAGTATAGATCGTAGCCTGGTGAGTGTAAATTGAAGAGTGATTGATTAGGATTCTTACCCCGATCAACACCTAGAAGGATGTGGTGTTGGACAAAACTTAGGTCGAAATCGAAGCGTTTACGAGGGTCTCGATTGTCCATCAAGCCCTCGGTTAAGAAGCACGATCGCAGTCGGCACGAGCCTGCTCGTCCGTGGTTCATGATCGCTTGAGATGGTCGCTGGGAAGTTCTCCAATCCCGTGATCTAAATGAGCGGAAAAAGTATGCTATTATACGAACAGGAATCAGCAAAAACAAAAGTGTGAGAACAATTTCGAGTCTAGTCGTCGCATGAACGCTTTATATACACATAGAGCGACGATCTCGTTTCTAGAATTCGCGATTTAAAATGGATTAGATCGATGTATTCTCGGCACTTCTTCCCATTATCAGTAAGTAATCCTTCTAGACATTCCTTTTCCTTTACTAGACCGATATTCACATTTACAGGAAGCTAATTACAAATGTTAAACGCGAGCATTGATGTAAGATGATTATAACTAATTTCGTGTTCACAAGTGCTCGGAAGATTATCACCAATTTCATGTTCATTAGTGTGATACAATGCGAGGCATGCCAGGATAATAGCAAGCTCACACGACTAATCAATTGTTCATTCTTTCTATACCAGTGAAAATAAGTTATAGATCCATTTTTTAACTCATATTTGATGGACTTAGTTGTTAGATCCATAAATGGAGGGGTTCACAATTTTAAAAGAAAAAATATTATGGATGTTAAATATATTCATAACTTACTTAGATTCAACCTGCCTTTATAACGCTCTCACCCGATTTCGCGCTTCCTCACTTCGCGCTCTCACCTCAATATAAGTATTAGCACTAAGGATCAGGCCGGGTGTGAGTTAAGTCAAATATTGATCACAAGATTTATGTTGCACGATAATAAGTCAAAACGGATTAAATTGGTCAATTTGGATCGAACTATTTTCGACCCAACCCAAATCTGACCCAATCTACCCGATTGACGGGTCTAATTCTTTCCGAAAGAATGTCGATCCATGTCATGTGATCATACAAGTACAGAAAAAATCATTGTTCCTTATCATTCTCTACAGTAGACTGCGGACACCGGACATGTGCTCGCTCGGATGCCAATTTAACTGCACAATCATCTCAACATCATTTGCAATACAGAGCAACAGGAGAGATCTCTAATTTTAGAACTATCTTCATACGAATTCTCTCCTATGCAGTTTATATTGCATAAGATCCTAAGTAAAGAGGAAGTGAATGAGTTGTGAACCACAATGACAACAACAAAGGAACTCCTGTCATTTGCTCCAAGAAGAGAAGTAGCAGGTAATGACTCGTGTAAGAATGATGATGCCACAAGCATTTCACCTCACAAAAGAAAGCAATGGTTTCAGCACCAAGAACATTCGATGGATCAATCGACCGCTCGAATGAAATGCAGTGTAGTATACACCGAACAAGTTTTATTTCCTGCACGTAATTTTGCTAGCATTCTGGAGCAGGTACAGTTCCTCTGTACACAAAAACTATCCTTAAGTCAGAAAACAAACTCTCAGATCCTAACTTAAGCAGTACATCAAAAAATTTTCAGGAAACTCCAGAAAAGTGAAAGGTAACTGAGATTGCAGCAACTGAGCATCACTGGTCGTCTTAAGCATTTATATCTTCAGGTGTGGATTCATCTGCTTTGACGGAAGCAGCTTGTTTCTCAGGATTTATGACACGTCCAGTCAGTGGATCAACAGGACGCGTGTCACGTGGTCCACCCTTGCGTCCCATCGCCACCATGGGTGGGGGAGGGAGTAAACCAGCTCTGAAAAGAATGTGTTGGACGGGATCCGAAGGTTGAGCGCCAACCGAAAGCCAATACCTAAATGGAGGAGACAATATTCTAATCAAGCATGATCCAACATGTACATTGGCATGCACTTAAGGTAACTTACAGATAGAAAAGGCAATCAAAATGAAACAAAAGAAAATGCAAGCATATGTGCATGTATATGCATAGCAGAGAATTGTGGAAAGGGAGAATTATTAAAAGAGCATTCACCCTTTCTAGCTCCACACACCCAGAATTTCTTCTGCCGTAAGCTTACATTATCATGTAAGTCAGATAACGGAGGATATTTACAACAGTGACATATAGGCCTCACTAGCAATTGACAGGATATCTATTAGGGATCCATTCCTACTAATAACAAGTGGATTCTGCACCATTTCTAAGATTACAACCGATCACAATAACACAAATGTATCAGTTGAACCTTTTGGAGAAGTTGATACTTGATACCATTGACAGCAAATTCAGAAAATCAATTAATCATCTCTCGCATGGATCCCAAGTTCCCAACATAAAACCTCAAAGATGCACAATGAAGGGAAAGATTGGATTTGACCAAAAAGAATTCTTATGCCCCTTGGGTTTAAAGCAACCTCAGAGGGTGCGTTTGGTTAGGCTTTTGGGGAAAGTCTTTGGGAAAAAACAAAGGCCTTTACGTTAAAGGGGTTTTTCGAAATGCAAGTAATGTTTGGTAAATTGTAAATTAAAAGAACACGGTGAAACAACTTTGGTTTAAACGGTGTTTGGAAAAATCACACTTTGTAAAGCACTTTTTTTTTAAACAAAAAAGAACTCAAAGCAGGGAAGGACTTCCTTACCAAAAAAATAAAATAAAAAGCAGGGAAGGACTCAGCAGCAGGTGGGCAGCCAGCAAGCCTCCAGTGAGGCCAAATCTGGTGCCGGCTGCATCACGTGACCTCAGGCAACTGTTGCCTGGGTTCGCATGACCCAGGCGACGGTCACCTTGTACCCAATCGGCAGTACCCAAGCGGCTTGGGTTCGAGGTGACCGTTGCCTAAGTCGCGCGAACCCAAGTGATAGTACCCAGGCGGCTTGGGTTCGAGGGGACCGTCGCTTGGGTCGCACTAACCCAGGCAACTGTCGCCTAATGTCACGCGACCTCAGGCTGCCGACGCCAGACTAGCTTACCGGCAGCCAGATCTGGCCTTGCCGGTAGCCTGAACCCTCACCGATGACGTCACGTGAGGTAGGGACATTTCCGAAATTATGAAAGTTTAGCGAGGACAAGGTTGGAAGAAAAAAAATGTATTTGCATTCCGGAAGCTGAAAACTCAAAGCACCTCCGAACTTATTTTGGGCTAAAGGCCTTCACCTGGAAATGCGATTACATCTTCTCAAAGCTCTCCAAAAAATTTGCCAAATGGTATTTGCATTTACCCAGGGGCTCCAAAGCCCCTAGATAAAGGCAGTTCCCAATTGGAGCCCGAGTCAATGCTTCAGGCAACATATATCAACATCTTGAAGCTATCTAAGGCATTTTGGATATGAATTCCTAGCTTTTCGAGGTTCTTGCACAAACCTATCGGAAACAAGACGGAGAGAGGGAATCTCAGTTAGATGCACGTCATGGATGGGTAGGAATTGCCCTATCTAAGAATATGTAGAAGTTAGCATCTAGAGAGTCATCCTATTTGTCACAAAAAGAAGTTGCATTTCGTCAGCTCAAAACATCTGAAGAAGGATAAAACCAGTCAGAGTTTGCACAGGACATAAATGAACTCGTTACCGAAATAGTAAAGAAAATTAGTGCTATGCAAGAACTCTTGAAAGAATCAAGCCAGATTACTGCTACTCAATGCTAGAGAACTAGATGACTGCATCCAATAATGGGAAAAGAAGAAGAAGCATGAGGCCTATTGCTTGTCACCAAGAATTCCAGAGACATTACTACCTCAAGTGCAAACCACTCCTCCAAGGTTCTAGATTGCGTTCAAACTAACTACTCCAAACATACAGATATCAATTGACAAAGCAAAAACGAATGGATAGAGAGGACTTACTTCACTCTGTCAAATTTAAGACCCATCCGTTTTCCACCATCTTGACCTATTCATACCCAAGAAAATTCCAGAGCAATTAGCAAATGGTCATCATCCTCATCGTCAAGTCTAAAAACAAACATGGATTGACAAGCAGTCATAAGATATCAAACTTCATATGTCGGTTCTCACTCTCTAATTTTTATTTGCTCCTTAGGCGACAAGCTTCAATCATCAAAAACATAGCCATCCTGATAACAAAAAAATGAAAGGTAACAAAATGACAAAACTTGTCCACGTATTGGACCCTGCCAGGACTTGTAATTGGGGAGCGGAGGATGGCGAGGTGACCCGGGTTGGAGAAGATCCAAAGAAACACTTAAAAGGAGGCGAAAGTGTGAAGTCAAATTTCTCTGAGGAATTTCATCAAACACTTGCCCTATGCACACTCAATACAATGAACATAACTAATAACCTCAACCGCAAGCGAATCGAAACAACGGGAGAGAAAACCAATCTAGCAATGAAAAGATTCCCAGCTCTTTTTTTCTCTCCTTCCAGATCCATGCAGTTTTCACACCCAATCAATGAGCTCCGAGCTTCGTTTACCCAAAACAATCGCCAACCCAGATATTCAACACTTCCTCTTTACCCACCCAACGAAACCCGAAAGAACCCACCTGAGAAAATCGCTGCGGGTGCACTCTTTCACCAATCCACTCAAATTCAATCAACTGTTCGACAAACAAACCCACACGACTCAACCATCACTTCACCGCCACCCATCACTTCACCGCCACCCAGGCACGAAAAAGAAAAGGAAACGGAGAGAGAGGGGTAGGGAATAATACCGGGCAAGGGATTGTAGTAACCCAAAACTTCGAGGTGCTTGCCGTCGCGGGGAGATCTGCTGTCGGCGGCCATGACCCGGTAGAAGGGCCGGTTCTTGCACCCGAATCTCGCTAACCGGATCCGAACCACCATTGTTTCTCCTCCTCTCTTGCTTCGCCTCGCTCGCTAAGCGAACTGAGTGTAATCCCGGTCGCTCTCTTTGGGGTGAAGTCGAGGCGCGACTGAGGGTTCTCTTCTGGGGTTTATGGTTTCATTCGCCATTTCCCCTCTCCCCTTTTGCTTTTTACTTCTTCTTTTTTACTTCTTTTTTTTTACTTTTTCCACCTGCGATTTCATTAAAATTCTTAGGGAAAATTTCAAATCAGTATTCAAAATGGGGTCGTTTTCTCAAAAAAAGGTCCAAAATGAATATAATTTCTAAGGATTTGAAGTGCCCAATCAGTTTCAAATAGGGACTCGAAGTGCCCAATTAGTATAAAGTAAGGGCCTGGGTTTGCCGGCCGGTCAAATGCTCCCCGGCCAGCGACCACGTCACTGTTCCGACGATTGGAATAAGGACAATTTCGTCTTTTACTCTTTTTTTTGCTCTTTTCCTTTTCCTTTTCTTCTTCTTCTTTTTTTCCTCTTTTCCCTCCGCCGCCCATAGCCGGGGCCGGCGGAGGCCACCCGACGCTGGCAAGGGCCGACCCTGGGTTTCCCTTGCCGGCGAGGGCGGCCTCTTTTACTTTTTTTTTTCTCTTTTCCTTTTTCTTTTCTTCTTCTTCTTTTTTTCCTCTTTTCCCGCTGTCGGCCGTAGCCGAGGCCGATAGAGGCCGCCCTCGCCCGACGCTGGCGAGGGCCGACCTGGGTTTCCCTCACCGGCGAGGGCGGCCTCCGCCTGAGGTCGGCAACCTCCGCCGGCCATAGTCGGGGCCGGCGGAGGGAAAAGAGAAAAAAAAGAAGAAGAAGAAAAGGAAAATGAAAAGGAAAAGGAAAAAAAAAGTAAAAGACGAAATTGCCCTTGTTCCGATCACCGAAACAGTGATGTGCTTGCTGGGCGGTGAGCATTTGATTGCCCCGCAAACCTAGGCCTTTACTTGAGACTAATTGGGCACTTCGGGCCCATATTTGAGACTAATTGGGCACTTCATGCCCTTATTTGACACTATATCCACTTTGAACCAATTTTTGAGAAAATGACCCCACTTTGGGTACTGATTTGAAATTTCCCCAAGTTCTTATAATGAATTTTGAAGAATTTACTACGCGACTAAAAATCCATTTGACAACTATTCTGTTCTCGAAAATATTTTCTGTTCAGAAATGATTCTTTTTTATTCTGTGCCCGGAAATAATTTCTAAGCATTTGAAACTGTTTGGTAACTATCCAAAATTTCTATTCTTGAAAAAAGAAAAAGAACAAAAATGTGTTTGATAACTGCACAAAATTTCTTTTATTAATAATATTTTAATATTTCTTTTTTTTTTCTTCTTCTTCTCCTTACTTGGCCATGGCCAAGTCGCCGGCATCCTCGCCGCCGCCCTTGCCAAATCTGGCGAGGGTGACTAGCGACTTGGGCAAGGGTGCCTCGCTGGATTTGGCGAGGGCGGCGACAAGGGTTGCCCATGCTAGATTCGGCGAAGCCGGCCCTTGCCCAAGCGACGAGGGTCCAGCCCTTGCAGGCGATCGGCCACAGGCCAAGAAGAAGAAGAAGAAGAAAAAGTTTCTTTTCCATTGTCAATTCTTATTCCCATAATCAAGAAGCAACTTTTTTTTCTTCTTCATTCTGTTCCAAAACTGATTCTGAGAACAAATATTTGCAAATTTGTGTCCGAGAACAAAAAAATTACCAAATGAATTTCTGTTCAAAAACTGATTTTGGGAACAAAAGAATACAAATAGTTACTGTTTGGCCGGTTGCCAAACACGCCTTAAGTAGACTGATATTTTTACAATTTTCAAATTATAATCTTTTTCATGTTTTTGCGTAATTAATATGTAAAGAGCCACAACACTCTCATCTTAGTGTCAGCTTTTTATTAAATTATTGCGAAATTAAGTTTCTAAAAAGAAATGAGCGACAAAATGAAATGGAAACAACAAAAACTGGATGGCAATCTGAATGTAAATTATTTACTATTATCCTCTAAATCTTTCGAACTATAAACTTATTGGTCATAACTCATGATAGCTCACAATGGAAAAGGAAAAAAAATAGCTACATAAAAATAAGAGCTGGGCGCTCTTTTTGAATTTGAAAAAGTTTTCTTAAAATTAGATGGCAGTTAAATTATACATTTTTTTGCTCGTATAATATTTTCCAACGGACAGCTCTTTTTCTTTTGGTCGACTAATAGACAGTTTGAAAGGAAAAATAAAATAGCAGAAATTTCAGTTTTTCTTTTCTCCATTCGACGACATAGATGGAGATTTATAGATTTCATTATACTTTGATATTTCGCATTTTGTGGGTATAGGTAACTAGTCCGTTCTAAACTATCGTCTATATTCGATATAGATCGAAAATTTGGTCTATATTACCTAGATAAGCATTTCATGGATAATTTGAAATTATCAGCTACCAAAAGAGTCGAAAATCAATAAGTATAACGAACCGAGCTCAAAGAGAAATGACTAGAAATATGCGGAAGCAATTGACTTTAAATCTAAAAACAACCTAGATGGCCTAGCGGGCCAATGCAACATACACAGTGGGGGGCTTTGAATGAACTTTCCAAGTCGTACCAAAATCGGAATTCTAAGTAAAGTTTGTAAATTTGTAAGTGCTGGTGTTACATGATATGACTTAATATCTATGTAAAATCGAACCAAAATTGGAATTGTTATGTGGGAAGGGATGAGTCTTAACTTCTTTGATTTCTGGGCAAACATAAGCAAATAAAGGTATTAGTGCTCGTGAAGTTTTGAGATAAACATCCGTGAAGAAATCTTTATTAATAGCTTGTACCCACTCCTATCCCCAATTCCCCTATGTCTTTGTCTTCCCTGGGTGAAGGGAATACCCTCGGAGCGTTTTACATCTTGGTGACCGAGATCCCTCCTCCCCTCGTCGAGAGGTGTTTTACCATCCCGTTTATATGATCCTCGAGGTCCCTCCTTCTGTGTTTTACATTCATTCGGACAACGAGATAAAATCCTTTTAAGAATATGCTAAGGTCCAAAATAAAGGTATTAGTGCTCGTGAAGTTGTGAGATAAACATCTGGGAAGAAACCTTTATTAATAGCTTGTTAGGAAGCATCTTTAGCTGGCTCGTGAAATTGTAAGACTTGGTTTTATTTTGCACTTTTTAAGGACATGCTCAGGCCAATAATGATGATAACCTTATCAATGACCTTGTATTGTTGCTGCTGTATGACTACCTAGTGACTACTGAAGAAGCTTCCAGATAATATATTACTGCTCGAGTAATGAATCTCCGGCGAATTTTGCTCGCTCATACTATACGAAAGTTGGGAATTGTTATGTGGGAAGGGAAGTCTTAATTTCTTTAATATCTGGGCAAATATAAGCGAACAAAGGTCTTAGGTACTACAGTATCAGAACCAACTCTCGTTTAATCTGAGGAAAGCAGTTGGGTTTGCTAGGGCTGCGGAAACTGCCATGTGCTTTAGCTGTTTATGAGACAGCTATAGCTACGTAGCTGCACTTTGCTGTGTAGACTAATCTTGTCGATGATCGTGGACTTTGTCGATTGCTTATCAAGGCTTTCGGTCTTTTCGATTCTCAGGGAGACATGCGATCAAGAGAGTCTACTACTGAACGCAATTAAGCAAGTCCATGCAGTAATCTCTGCGGTTGGGAGAGGACAACTAGAGGACCAAGACAAAGATTGTTACTGCCATTAAAGCAGTCGGGAATGTCAAGGTGGTGCTGTTTCTAGTAGGTTCATCTTCACCATTGTGAATTTTTCGTTTCTGCAGGCCTTGCAGTACGTGCAGGATAACCCCGACGAGCTTTGCCTGGCTGGATGGAAGCCCGGAGAGAAGTCCATGAAGCTAGACCCTAAGCTCAGCAAGGAGTACTTTGGTGTCATGAAGGAACAGATCATCGGTTCCCCTCGTTCGGAGGTGTGAAAGAGTCTGCGTCTTTGTTGTTTTGTCCTTTTGCTGCATCTTTTTCGGTCGAAATGAGTTTCGAGTTGCATTTGTCGGGGAATGAATGCAGTCAGACTAGACGTTTCCCATCTCCTCTGTACTGCACAATTGATTTAGGACATGTTTGGTTCAACTTTGAAAATGCTATTTGGAAAAATGCAAATACCTTTGGGCGAAAGCCCATTAGGAAAATGTAAACGATGTTTGGTAAAAATATTTTGTAAAGCTACTTTGGCCAAAATATAGTGTTTGGTGAATTTTTTTTGCAAATGGACTTTAGGAATAAAAAAACCTAACTTATTATCCTTTCTTCGGAGCCGACGCCGTGGCCCAGCGAGCCGAGATCTGGCGCCAGCGTATCACGAGGTTGGGCGACCACCGGCGGGCCAGATATGGGGCCGGCGGCCGTCGCCCAAGGTCGGGCGACCCTCGGCGAGGGTCGCGGGATCCAAGCGGCCGCCTAAGTCGCGTGACTCAGGCGGCCGGCGCCTTGGTTGCGCGACCCAAGGGACGGCAGCCTGAGGTCGCGCGACCCAGGCGGCCATCGCCTGAGGTCGTGCGACCCAGGCGGCGATGGCCTGGGTCGAGCGACCCCAGCGACGGCGTCGCCTGGGCGGTCGCCCGACCCCAGGCGACCTCGCTGGCCCTTCTCCCTCGCCGGCCACCCTCGCCGAAGAAGAACAGCAGCTTCAAACCCTAACTTAAAAAAAAAAAAAAAAAAAGAGAGTGAACAGTAGCATTCGTGGAATGCTAGCATTTGGCCAATGCTAAGTCAAATGCTGAACCAAACACTCCAGCATTTTGGGAAGGGGCTTTCGAGGCTCAAAGCTCCTTTCCAAAGCTGAACCAAACACCCCCTTAGAGTGGAACCCCTGATTCGGCTAGAAAACCACAATGTTATTTCTTCGCGTGATCGATCAATGTAGACATGTTTTTCGCTTTCGACCGAAAGAGCCTTGAAATGGTTCTGTTTCCTCTACAGAGTTACGTGATCGTGATTGTCTTGTGCACGGAGTAACACCAATTAGCTCAAGGTTTGTCTTAAATATATATGACTATTCATTAGCAAGTGTTAACACCATCATCCTCCAGGTATAAAGTTCAGCATAACCCGTGAAAATG